CTTTTAAGCCTTTTACTTACATTAGTGTGAAAATTTTCAATGACTAAAAGCCAGACATTCAAGCATTGAAGCACATTTGGCATATTAATCTTTTCTTCACCAGCATTATTCCAACATACTCAACACATACATACATACATACATATATTTATTTATTAATAACAGCATATTTACGATGTTTTCATCTAAGTAATTTTTTATGTTTTCTATGCAAATCTATGCGCTTTAGTTATTCCATTTATGCGCTAGACGCCCTTTCCTATTCATTTTTTTCTTGTTCGTCATATTTTCTTTTTTCTACACATGTAATTCTCTTCCTAGGTAGATAAATGTTTACGGCAAGAAATATCCACATCAGTGAAAGTTTCTCAGGCACATTTAGCTTTTATGATTATTTGTTCGGCCAGCTGTTGGATTATTTGTTAAGATAGACATTAATTTCAGCCTAAATGCAGATGCATATATACATACATTGTATCTGTATACATACTCGTATATATGTAGATTTGTATGTGTTACCACATGCCTCTGCACATGGGGCGTTTCATACCAAAACGGACGGGTTCACACTTCATGCGTTTCAAAATTTTCGGGTTGATGCATAAATATATTTAATAAATAAATATGAAGTTTCAGCTTGGTCCATACATTTTTAAAAACTTTACAGCACAAAAATAACAACAAATCGACTTAATAGTTTTCCAGATATCTCGATAACGGGGCGAGGAAAAAATTTGGAAAAAACTCACACATACACACATCGAAATACTCTATGAAAATAAATATTTTTAAAATTTGTTTTTTCTTGAAAAATTTTTCACATACAAATTTTTTGGTAAAAAAAAAATGTTTTTTAATATATCTCTTCTATACAAAAACTCGCAATGGTAGCTCTGAGTATTGCGCAATATTTAAGTATAGCATTATGGGGTGCACTCTACAATAATTTGAGTTATGAACTTTTTTTTACACCGAAGTTGAGTAAAATGCGTACATTACAAATTTAGAAATTTTTTAATTTTCTTTAGAGCTGTTTTGAGTTTTGTAGCCCATTATCTTACTAATATAATAAAGTGCATGTTTTAAGCGATTGCCAAATTGGCTTTTTGTAACTTTTTATTTTTCGAATTGTTTTAATTTTTGGTTTTCGCAGTTTGTGCACTGAGGAAATAGAAAAATGTTGAATATTTATGGATATTTTTTCCAGAAGCTACGCATATAATCAAAAAATTTCTTAATAAACTTTCGAAGTAAAATTTTTGGAAAAATGCGATCACATGTTTATTTTGCTACGCCACTTTGATTTCTTGAAATTGATGAAATACGCTTTCAATTGCACCATCGCATGCGCCTTTAGGTTTAAATTAATTTTCGGAAGCATATGTAGATGAATGCCCCAAATATATTTATATTGAACATTTTCTAAACCTACTTCTTGCTACAGGTTAAATCGTAACTTCTTGAGATGAATTCAAAAATTTGTTTATCATAGTAGTTCATGTACTTAATAAATGTTTTTGTGATACATATAAGAGATAAGATTTCACAAAAGGTTTCACAAAATGTTTTTTTTTTCAATTTTTTTTGCGATTTTTAATGATTTATATATTTTATATTGAATTTATTTTTGTACACTCGGTACCTCCTGAGAGATTTTTTTAAGATTTTCGAGTTCTTTTCGAAATTTTTGGACTTTTCGAGATGTTCATGGAACTTTGCAAAATGAGGCTCACACATAGTAATATACATATGTACACAACACCCTACACTAAATTTTAAATTTTCTACATTTGAAATGAACTTCTCTGGCCTGTTGCGTTAATTAATTTAAATTATATTTATTTACAAGAAAAATTGCCCTAACCATTTTTATTCAATACAAATTTCTATCCCTTCCCACTCCTTTCCTCTACCGCCTCTCTCTAAGCTCGTGACCGTATTTCACCTTTGCGTGGACTAAGTAGTCTTAGCCGCCCCCGCGGTGTGCTGCTTCGTTACAAACTGCATAGACTCGATCTGTTTGCGCAGCTTCTCTTTGAAAATGATTTCTCGATTTATGACTTGTAAGTCGTTCGTACTACATTGCTGTATGTGCTGTATGCTGTCCGAGATGAGTCGCGTCGTCAAATTTACTTTCGATTTTCTCAAAAGCAATGGCTTTTGCGTTGAACGTCGCAATTCCTCCAAATGCATAAATAGTTGGTAAGTGATTGAGATGTTGTTGCTGGCATTTTTGTGACGTTTACTATCCATGGCCAAGATTGATTGCGCTTTGAACGTTTATGGTGGTAGACCAATAGTTAAAGTATTGATTCTCCTTTTTTCTGCCTCTTGCAGTTGATACTTGGCTTAGAATGTTGTGTGTGAGTGAGTGGATAGAGAATTTATAGTTTCTTGGGTTGTCAGGTGAAAAAAAAATTTTAATTAAGCTCATCTACCTGAGGGCTCAGGCATCTAAAGGACACGTTAGCGATGATTTAAGGTTACGTTCGAAGTGATTTACAATACAGGTGATATACTATGTTTATAAACAAAGGTATTTCAAAACAAAATACATAAGACAGGTAAGCTTAGGCGCTAAAAAAGGTGGTTAGAGTTGTTTAGTAGCTTTGCGCCTTAATTGAAGTTTCATGCGTATACACACAGAAATATATGTAAGTTTGTGTATGTAACACTCAAGAATCCGACGATATCGCCTAAAGTGGTTATAGCGCCATCAGTGCAAGATTTACTAGCAAAAACTTCTAAATGCTAGAAATATTTTTAAAGTCCTATATCTTTTACTTTAATTAGCTTGGAAGTTATTACTAAAGCTTTGCTGTGACAAGGTTCGTTGTTTAAAGCATACCTAATAAAAATGGCAGCATTTCATACAAAGCGGAAAATTTTTAAATATTTTAAGGAAATAAATCTTCTAGCTGCAATTTTTCGATGAATGGATTGATTACATAATGCAACGATGTTTTTGGGGGCGAAAGAACTCCAACTCAGAATGCAAGACCAGACCCATAAAGTAAAACCTCTAAATCTTAGGGCATTCTCAGGTCAAACTTCCTTTGCTTGGTTATATTATTAAGTTAGAAATTTTTTGGCTCGAGTGTTTTTAAGATAATTGAAAAAGGGTTAAAAGTCATATCATAGCGAAATATGTAGTACGGCTAGATATAGTAAACCCATTATTTCTCTCACGAAATAGTCGTTCTGACCCCTTTTTTGAAAAGTGTCAATAAAATGGCACTCGGGTGGTCGCTCAAGGGTTAAAATGTTTTAGAAAATTATTCGCCGGAAGTTTCGCCAGGGATACTCGCAGACAAAATCTTTATACAGAAAAAAAATATAAAAAATAAAAATTTTTCCCTTTAAAATATGCATCAACATTTTGCAATCTTTTAATAGTATTTAACTACATTGCGAATGAACACAGCTGGTACCCAATTTTTGTGTACACCTAAAAAATAAGAATATAATTTTTTTCGGTAGAGAACAATCCTCCTAATTTTGGGCCACCCTGGCGTACAGGCTCATTATTCAATTATTTATAGAACTGCGTTTTGCCATTAGTCGAAAGAACAAAAAATTAGTTTATTGCCGAAGCCGGGATCTATTCCGCAATACTCCTGGCTACGCCACTGGAGCAATATCCTTAGACGCGGTGGCCTATTTCGAGACACACAAATACATATAGTGGGAAAAATCATAATTTAATTAGAAACTTCTCAATAGCTAAAACCAATACCTTTATTTATGCAGAAAAGATACTAATATTTCAGTCTTAATTTCGGTAGTGAAATTTTGCATTCTATTCCGAGTACTAAGCATTTATATGGGACTAAATTTTTATGAATTTTTGCTACTTCTCAGAATTTTTTTTAAGTAGTACCTACATAGGCTGCGCCTTTCATCGCTCACATATATTTTTTACTAGAAAGATGTTTGAAAGTACAGTTAATATAAATTACTGGTTTGCTTTCATATGACAGTACTCATTCTCAAACACACACATACATACATATGTACATACTTATATATATTCATACATATTTGCATATGTTATTTTTTACCTACATATCCGGGGAAACCCCAATGCGATCTTGGCTTTGTTATTGTTAGTCATTCTCAGCGTACGTAAAATATTTTACCGGGATTTAATTGTCATAGTATTGTTTAAATATTTACTTCAATTGCCGTGTAAGTGTCTCAAACCATTAAGGCCTGCTAGCCGACAGGTCTACAAAGAAACGCATAAATGAAAGAAACATATATTTTCTCTACACACACACATACATAGGTGCATTCCAAGCCCCTCCGCATACCAGTGGCCACAAACCAAAACAAAACAATGCTGCACGTTGACATCACTTCCGAATGCCGTTTAATCCGCGCAAACTCGCGTCTAGACATGCCTGGCCGTTGTCCATTCTTTAGATGGCGACACGGCGCTGCTGATGACTATTTTCCCAGAAACGTCATACATTCACGCACTCAACCTTTTGTTCGACTAACATGCTTTTCCTTAGCATAGCTGTCAATGCGCTCCAGAAACGCCCCGCGTAAAGGCAGCGGCGGAAAAAGGCAGCATGGATGCGCGCGGCGGCCGTTAGCTATGTGCGGACGCGAATTGCGCGGGTGACTTTAACACCGCGGAAAAACTCGCAGGTGTGCAGCGTTGAATGTATGCCACCAGGTAAGCGAGTGTGTTAGAAAAATAGCAAAAGGGCGACTGCCTGCCGCCAGGCAAAAGAGAGCGGGCGCAAGCGCGCCAGGCGGTCAATGCCACTATAAAAGCGCGCAGCATGCAAACAATGACGCATCATTCGTGCATTAGCACCTCGAGCGTGTATGTTTACTGCTCTGCAACGTTTGGCGCAGTTGTTAAATAAATAAATAAATATTGCTATTTAAAGTTGTTAAGTGTTTTGGCACAGCGAAGTAAAGCAACTTTTATTGCGGTACTACTTTCGCCTTTCTAAACTACGTCTACGCATCACTCCAAAGAAAAAATGGGTTCATTAGGCCACGCAAACGTACTCACCAACAACTTCAGCAACTGCAGCAAAAGGAACACATCAGTACACTATAAGCTATTCATATACCAGGAAGAGTTGCGCCGACGCAATGCACGGCAAATACGCATCGCCAAATCGAAGATCTCGCTAACCGACTCGCTGATCACTGAGAATGTGCAGCACTTGCATGATTGCAGCCTCGAAGATTTGCGTATCATCAGCCGCGAAATGTCATTCAAGAAGCATTTGCAAAAGCAAGTCTCGCGCTATTCCAAGCTCACCGCATTGGGTGTGAATATCGATCTGCATCTACAAAGAAGCCCAACAACTACAACGTTATGAGAGAAGTTTTGTTGTTTGCATGTGTGTGTGTGTGTGTGTGTACGTTTCTGAATAGTTCTAAGTTATGGTAAACTGTACTTGAGTTAAGCTATTTAGTACCCCTGTGACTATTTGTGTAATTTAATAGTACTTTGTAAATTAATTCATCACATAGCTTAGGTGCATTAGGTTAAGCGTAATTTGTTGTCTATTAAGTAATAATGATTTGTAATAATAAACTTAATAACTAATTGCTTGTATCAAGTTTTAAACCCAATTTTGCCTTTGACTTTTTCACATGCCATATCGATTTCATAGTTATAACCTCAGAGTTAGAGAACATTGCTTACAGCATACACAGAGGGAAAAGTTAATCCGGATTAACAGCGCAGTTGTTCTGATCGAAATTGTACCCTTAATCAAACTCTAAAAAATTAAATGAAACTGAAATAATTATGTGAAATAACGTAAAGAACTTAGTAAAACATACGGTGGCGAAAATATAAATAGGGAAGAGATATTTAAGCATTATTAGGCTATTTCGCTTTCGTTTATTATTTTTTTATGAAAATGTAGCTCATTATCTAACAAAAACCATGAAAGTCAAAATTTTAAACTTTTTACAAAAATTAGCAAAATTCGAAAAGGTTTCATCAAAAGTTTGAGATTAGATTTCTTAGAAGCTAGGTGGGACTTACCGTTAGTTTTGATCGACATTTGTTGAAATTTGTCGAATTTTTATACAAAAAAAAAATTTGATTTACGTGGTTTTTATAGTAAGATGCATATTCTTTCCTAAAAAAATTATAAATTTTTTTTTAAACAAAGAAAAGGAGTCAAAATTTGTTTGATTTTTTATTTTAATAAAAATGTTTTTTTTTTCTAATTACACGGAGTGGATATTGTATCTGAATCCTACTAAGTTGTGGTGCACAGTTCTGGCCACTCGGCTACCGAGGACGCCAAACTCGTTTTATTTGCTTCCTAACTTATTTACTCAGAGAGAGTAGAATGCAGAGAGCATGAAACTAGTCACCATACTCATTTAAATAAATTGGTATTCAGTTTCAATTGTATTACTATCAGCATTAGTTTGGTGCCTGCAATACCTCCAGGCTAAACTAGCACTGAGTTTTGGCCAGTGTTGTCATCGAAAATGCTCCCATGCCGAAGTTTGATTATTAACTCTAACTGCAGTTAATTCCAGAGATAATTCTGAATTAACGGATTGATCCGGATCAACGCAGCACCGTCTGGCTATGCTTTTGTTCTTGTAACTAGCGTAGATGATGATTTAGATTTGAGTTAATGAGCTCTAGATCAATAACTTTTTGAGAGAAAATTGTTTAATCAACAATTTTTTTGAGCTTGAGGCCGTTTCTAATGAAAAACTGTTGTGGAAAAACAACAACATACGCAAGGTAGAAGTTATACGGGTAGCTGCTATTTTGGAGATCACCACATCTCCTCATCAGACTTCTTCGCCGCGGTCACTGGGTTATGAACCAGCGGCTTCGGATTACAAAGCTCCTACCATCAGGGTCATCCTGGCTAAGATAATAAAAAGTCTTTCGTAAGGCAAATGAAAGATATATGGCAAGATAGTTCGAAGTACTTTTGTTATTCTAGCACAAAAGTCTTAGAAAAAGAGCACTAAAATTCAAATTTATAGTGAGAGAATGCATTTTTAGACCATTTAGCTCGTATCGCTCCAACTGGAGGAGAGGATTTTTTTTTTTGCTTCTCAATTAAATTTTTTCTCTTTTTTGAGTTAATTTTCTTTTAATTTTGAGATTGCATTGTTTTAAAAATGAAAATATATATTTTTTATTTCGTTTATTTTTTACTCTGATTTTTTGTATTTTTTCTTTATCAATTAAATCGTTTTTTTTTTTATTTGTAGAATAGAAAAGAAAGATTTTAAAAAGAAGAATATTTATTTATTTCAATCAATTTTTAGGAACCTATTTTTTTTTAAATATTTTTCTCCTTTCCTTAGCTAAATTTTCTTTAAATTTTTACATTTTATGGTTTGTACAAGAAAGATATTTTTTAATTTTTATTTAACTTTTGGAAACTTATTTTATTCACTATTTTTCTTTTTTTAATTTCAATTTTATAAGCTAAGTTTTGGATTTTCTTGTTTTAAAATAAAAAATATATATAAATTATTTTTTAGGATCTTATTTATTATTTTATCTTTACTTTTTAGAATTTGTTTTAAAATTAAATATGTTTTTTAAATTTGGTTTTTAATTTTTAAGTATTATTTTCTTCCTTTCTACTTATTTTTTTCTTTTTCTTATTTAATTTTTAGATTTTATTGTTGTAAAAATCAAAGTGATATTTTTTTAATTTCATTTAATTAGCAAAAATATTTTTATTTATTATTGCTTTATTTTAATTTTAAAACGTATTGCTAAAAGGCTAACAGCGTAACCTCCACGTTGGAAGTTCCTTCAATTAATATTTCGAAAGGCAGTGAAGACCTTTAAAGATAGTTGCCAGAATTGACAATTGTCTTACGAAAGACTTTTGTCATTAGAAACGACCTCTAGCTCAATAAAATTGTTAAATATAATTGTTATAAAAATAGCAAAAAAAAATATATTTAATTTTCGCTTGTATTAACGGTCAGACGATTGGGCAATTTCCCAAAATTTGGTACAAACTCGTAGCCCAATAGGGCGATGAAAAAATACTGGACTTTGTCCCAATCATGAAAAAAAGTTTTACATACGTCAATTAAATTTCCGACTGAGTTTGTATGTATTGAACTGTTCATGTGACAACTAAAAATTCATGCCAATTTTTATTTATAGAATATCTTTCACTGCATTCCACCTGTATCGCGAAATACTGCGCTAATTACTGCCATTTCTTGTGAGAATGTAAAGTCCACATGTCTTGGCCACATTTATAGCAAATACTTAGTATAGTGTGCTACATATGAACAAATACATTTTTTAAAACATATTTATGTATGTATGTACATATATAATATGCATGTACTGGTCGCACAAAAATAAATAGAAATTTATTTGCAGATAATGACATACATAAAATGTAGGAGTGGAAATTCCTGTTCTTATCGCATTGCCGCCACATTTAACAAGCCAAACCAGCCAACCAACCAAACCAAACCAAGAAGTAAAGACATCCGTCAGGCAATCGAATGCTAAAGAGTTGGTCATAAATGCCATCGAGAAATGGCAAACAAGCCAAATAACCGGTAAAGTGTTTGAAGCGTTTTATTTACTTAGATGGCTAGCGTGGTCCATAAATAGCACAATGTACTGCATCTACATATGCATTGCATATGCATGTGCATATATGCATGCATACAAACGTACATAAATAGGTGTGGCTGTTGAAGATTAAACGGAAAAAGATTTCTCGCATATTAAGAGACAGCATTTTAATCTTAATTTTAAACTTCTTTGTAGTTATATGCATAGCCAGCAAGCCATGTTGTCAGTAACAGATATGGTCCTACTCATTCCGTATTGTTATTTATGACAGTGTAATAAAATGATCACCTTTATTCTTTGATTTGCGAAAATTGTTGTGCATTATGAAATTAATAACCGTTATACATATATCAAGATTTTTATTTTTAAATCATAGCATTTTTTGATTTTTTTTTTCGATCAAGAACAATATGTATTTTTTTCGTTCAAATTGAATTTTTATTTTGGATTATTTTTTCGATGAAAACTATCGTTATTTTGGATTTTATTTGTTTAGGATAATTTGTAACCGCTATAATGGAGAATGTGTTTCATGACAGATGTAAATATTTTATGATCTAAAAAATAAATCTGAATCAACGGTTATAATATGGTAGAAAAAATAAAAATCAAAAAATAACGATACAAAATTTATCGAAAAAATAAAAATCCAAAATAACGATTATTTTTGATCGCAAAAAAATCATAAAAAAGCTGTTAAATTTTATTGGAAAAATAAGAATGCAATTTTAAAATCGCTCAGACATAGACAAGGTTTGTTGCACATTTCTATGAAGGGGAAAAAGTCCGTTGCGAACTCCTAAATCAATGAGCATTCTATTGGATAAACAAGAATGCAAAATTAATACAGACATACAAAAATTGGGTAATATTTTTCACATAGTCTGTACAGGGTCTGCGTTCATCATTCGATGAAATTTTAAACACTCCGCTGCTCCAAACCTCAATCAAAAGCACCATCTCGGGGAGAGAACGAAATCTTGGGGAGTAGTGAAAGTCCATAGTCTGCCCAAAATGTGCCTTCCATTAATTCTGAAGCGCTGCAGAAGCGTGGGTACATTTATCTGAAAAGCAAGTCCGACGGCCAAGTGACCCTGTTCAGAGTTCAGAGTTTATCGGCCGTCCTACCGATTTACCCAACCAATGCCAGAAGTTAGGTGCCTAAGTTGCGAAATAACTGGAGGAAGATATATCTGAAAATGCGGATACCTCCACAATTATAAAAGAATAATGTGCTTCCTCGAGCGTGCCACATCAATCTTCACCACTTGAATATGGCATCTTCATATCCCTTAAGGCACCAGGAGCAAAGCGGTGCTGATATAGTACATACATATATATGTATCACAGGAGCCGCGACAAAGCGACAATGCATGAAAACTGTCTTAGAAGAGCCTCTTACAGAACGTGAAAAGCACAGCCGTGATTTTTAATGCAGACAATTGTAGGAAACCTTTTCAGAAAATTTAACTTAACAGAGCAAAAAAGTTATGAGCTATCGCTTCCACAAAATGTTTATTGATTGATTGGCCTGAATAGAAAAAGGTTACTCAACGATTTCATTATACTTCAATTTCATTTACAACTAAGCCCAGTAATGGCATACAGTTGGCAACACCAAACGAATGCAATACCACTGAGAAGCAGTAAAAGTGCAGCATTCTGTTACAAACAAAGACGATCGACGAGATGCAAAAACACAAAACCAAAACCCTAAAGCAACCACAATGACAATGGAGCCAACAGCAGCAGCAGCACTAGCAACAACAG